CACTTAAATATGATTTATATGATTTATACAATATATGCAAAATATAGAATATATTAAAGGAAGGAAAAATGATGAGTTAGTTACTCATATTTCCAGATCTTCATATAACATTATTCAATAAATTAATGAAACAGAAATGATTTGACAAGGTAAAGTAATTGAACAAATTATACAGGAGAAACAAAATTAGCAATAATGAAATTTATGTTTATAACAATCTTTATTTAATTAAATTTTTATTTTATTTATTTAATATAAAGATAAGGAGTAAAGAAGGTTATTCTCTAACTTAAGACAAATAGAGGTTTTATTATAACAAATTTTCAAGAGAAGTATTCTGCAACTTATTCCTTTTTTTCTCTTCTAATATTTCCTTTTTTTCTTTATTTTTACAATTTTCTCTGAATCGTTCTTTGACTTGTATTTCTCTTTTTTCATTAACTTCTTTTTTCTGTAGATCCTACTTATAGTATTACAGTTACGTAACCCAAAAATCATCTTTGTGATACTAAGACTTAGCTGTGAACTTGTGAAGGTGAGTCATTTTACCTTTTTCTTGTTACGCATTTTATTAATTCTGCCTTGACTTTCTTCCTTTTTAGGTTAGTTAATATTTCTTTCATGGGGGCTAGGCTTAGTGTCGTAACAGATCACTGGGGGCTTCTCTTGCATACAATGGGGAAAAATCGGGTTACACGATCAACGGTTTGGGGTCGCGATCCAAATTACGATCCCGGTCACATTTTAGGTCACGTTTTCGGGAATCTTTACGCATTGGTTCCAACCCGGTTTACCTCTAACAATATGCAATATATGCCGTTTATGCATTATATGCAATTTATGCAAATTACTATGTGATTCATGGTCACGTTAGGATTCCGGATCCAAGCATTGAACCTAGCTGCACAAAAAATGCGCGGATGATCCTCGATTTTGATTGGCTAACGGCCGTAGATCTGCAAAATTTTAGTCCGCATTACATAATTGTTTACTCAATTCTGGCCGGAATTAACATTTTAACTTTTTCATTCTAAAAATATAAATTTTCAAAGAAATAGGCCCGCGCTATGTTAAAATCAGCCCAGGAACAATTTTCACTTAATACGCAGCAGCGATTTCATTAGTAAAATTTTGAGTAATTCCGGCCAAAATTTTTGATCGTCGCTCTTAGCCAATCAAAATCGAGGATCATCCGCGCATTTTTGTGTGGCAGCTAGGTTCAATGATCCAAGCACTAATCCGATCATCTGTTCCGGTTATACTGTAATATACATATTTTGCATTTTTTACGTGATTAGTATCACGTTTCTGAGCTCCGTGCCTATCCTTTGGGCTCACACTATACAAGCGTAAAATACTCAATAATAAGCTAAATTAGTTCTCGAATTAATTTATTAAATTCGTAATTCCATGATAGGAATACTGATCTATTTTTAGATTTGATTAAAAAAAATCACGTTTTTGTATTTTTTTTTTTTTTTTTGAGATAGCGAGTACCCAAATCCGAAGTGCCGATCCAAAGTCAAGTGAAAAGTAACTGAAATGTTACTTTTGTTACTTCTGTTACTTCGGTAACATATGCGATAAATGTAATATTGGCCTTTTATTAGATTTAGTTAAGATATAGATTATAACATTATGGTAGAAATTAATTGCGAATGTAAATAAAATGTTTATGATAAATAAAGGACATTTTTGCCTTGGAAAAGAATAACTTTTCTCAATAAAAAAAAAAAATACAAATCCTGCAAATAATTACCTCCTTTCAAATAATAAAAACTGACCTGCCTAACTCATAAATCCTATAAATAAATACCCGAACTAGGGATGGGCCACTGCGAAGAATTTTTGAGAGGCTGCGCAGTGAGATTTTTAAAATTCAGGCTAGCTGGTATATTTTTGCCCAGCTGCATAATTCTGGCCAACTGGAATAGAATTATATCTCTACTATATGTTATGCGTATTTCATACTCAGGCTGCGCAAAAAATTTCCGAATCACAATAGCAATAATCGACGCAATCTGAACAAAATCGGGCTAAACCTCGTGATCAGAACGCAGACGGTGTTACGAACTGGGGAGGGCTATCGTTAAACCAGCACCAAAATTCAGCTCAGAGTTGTAAACATAAAACGTATTTGAGCTAGTTAAGCAATTAGTAACCACGTTGTATCGTGAACTTTATATTTGAAAATCTAATCGTTATCGTTATAATAAGTTAATCTGAGAATCGTTAAACAAATTCTATTACGAAATAGGGTGTTACACGAGTTTTAATATGGTAAAGTTTATATTTATGTATTTATTGTATTTATTATTAATTATGAGCAGAAAGAGGTAAGTTCTTTATTATGTTTAAGCGTTATATTTATACATTTTAATTTTCTAGGGTTTCGAACTATGATCTGTGGTCTCAGACGGTGAAAAAGTGAGAATTGGTTCTAGACTAGAACTCGTCCGGAGGTTTGGTTACACAGAGGTTCTGGTTCGACTAATCTATACAAATGAACCGAAATAATCCAAAGAATCCAACTAAGAGGTAACCCTAGGTTGGATAAGGCTAGAAAGAGGCGGGGATTAACTTGGTCCGAGATTAGGGTTACTTGGGTAGGTATTTAGGTTATTGGGGTTGGGTCTATGGATTGTCTTGGTCACGTTTGTCGGAGGTTACAGAGTTTGGTTACGATCGGGTTACGAATTGGGTTACAATTTGGGTTACAATTTGGGTCACGGGATATGAATTTATTGGTAAGCCGATTTAACAATTACGAAATTGATCAATTAATTAATCAATTTAAAGACATTATATAAAATAATGCGCTATGACAATTTGGGTCTTTTTACTTTACTAACAAACTGGTATAAGTCGAGAAAGATATCGCGGGGACAAGAATTTAACGATAAACGATTCAGGAGGTTTAGGGTAACAATTTATAACAATTTAAAAGGGTAATTCGGTTAAAGACAAACACTTCTATACAAGACTTTTCAAGACTCAAAAGGTTTTACTTTTTCGAACTCTGTGAGTTGTCTTTATTCAAGGTAATTTCGCATTGTATATATACATTTTCTTTACATAATATGGATTAACGAGAATTCTTGTTTTTCTAATTATTCTAATTTTTCTCGTAATTCTTATTTTTCTCGCTATTCCAATTATTCTTCCATTCAAATTATTCCTGCTATTACCATTTTTCTTGCTATTCTAATTTTTCTTACTTTTTTGGGAATTTCGAGAATAGCAGGAATTCTAGGAATTCTGGGAATTCGCGTATGACGATCTTTACCCTAAATTATCCCAACCTTCAATACAAAATAAATGAAAAATAATAATAATATATATATAAAAATAATAAAAAATAATATATAAAAAAAGGTCGATTGGTGCCCCGGAGCCCTTCACAACGGTCACAAATCAAGATCTGTAGCTCAAATCAAGTTCTGTGGTCTCAAATCAAGATCTGTGGTTTCAACAATACTATCGTAACACAATAATACAAGAGCAATACAGCAAATATTTTAGTAACAACGGTTCACATTATAACGAACTAGTTCTTACCAGACAATGAATATCAAAGTCAAAAATAAAAGCTCTTAATAACCCATTTAAAATCATTATTAATTCGGTATATTCAAAATTGACTAATAGATTAAGAAAAAAATTCTGTGAATTTATATCATGATTTTGCAAGACTATCTGCACGTCATATTCTTTTTGAAAACCGAAAAGCTGTAGCATGAGTTGTCTAATTCACAAAAAACTTATTGAACTCAAATCAGGCGGTGATTTGAGAGCTCATCAATTAGAGCTACATACCTCATGTAAAAAATATACGTGATGTTAGATAATAATGTTAGGAGTTGGAGTAATTTATAAAGTGCTCGAATATGTATTAATCAAATTTAGCGGTTTGAATAATTCGAGTTTATTACATCAATTTTGTGATATTTAGAATTTATCTGATTAAAATTATGATAAATTCTAAAATGTCACAAAATTGATGTGATAAACTCGAATTATTCAAACCTCTAATTCAAATTATGCAGCATCATAATCCAGACCACCCTAGTGTTGTAGACTCAATTTTATAGTAGTTCAATGCTGCTATAGGATTACGTGTTTAAATGATTATTACTCCATGATCTTCAGAAATTATTCACATTTCAATTAACCTCTAATTAACTTGTAAATAATAAAATAAAATTTATTCGAAAAGAATTAATTTCCAGAAAAACAAATAAGTTTAGTGTTAGGCCACGCAAAGTTAATTTTTCATTTTGCATAACCCGCCGACCCATTTTTTCAAAATTTCAAAAAAATTTTTTTTTTAAAGTACCAATTGTGTCAATTATTCGATTTTTGCTATTTAATTTTTCTATCTATTTTATCCGGTGTTACCCGATAGAGACTTGGTATCCCAAAATTATCCGATAGGACAGATAGAAAAAAAATCTTAGCGCTGACCCAATTTTTCTGATTCCATGTTATGCAAAACGAAAAATCAACTTTGTATAGTCTTAGACATGAACGTGAGACTATTAATTTACAATAGATTAAAAAAAGAAAAAGAAAGAAGAAAAAAAAAAAATCCGACCGACCGACCCAATTTTTCTGATTCCATGTTATGCAAAACAAAAAATTAACTTTGCATGGCCTTAACATTAAATTGCATACATAAGCATAAAATGTGCATGTTACAAAATTATAATGTAAATGATAGTGTTATAAAATGACTACAACATTTGAGCCTCTAAAAGTCATCAGGGAAGTGAAAATAACAAACTATAAATCAATAACTGTTATGACAAATGTGAAAAAAGTTTAATTTATTTAAATTTAATATTTAAAATAAATGAATCTTAAAATGTTCCTCCCAAAAAACGAAACTGAAATATTATGTTATAAAAAAGTTTGGCGTTTTTTATAGATAAGCCTAGAAAGGCCATACAATTATAATGTTTAATGATTGACAAAAAGATTTTTACGAGAAGTTTTTATATTTAAGTATTATTATTAAATGAAGAGCCTAAATTGATAGTGTCCGAGAGTTGAGGGACTTCCAGCTTTTCAGTTCTTTGTAGATTTTCAAATGGATCTGTTCCATTAACTAAAATTTCATATTTTTGGTCAGCGCTAAGGCTATTTAATGATGTATTTACAGGTACGTCAGCAGCAATCATTTGCGGTCTTAAGGCAGTAGGTTGATTCATGACTTATTGTAGATTACAATAAATCTATAAAATATTTCTTAAAGGTACTTTCTTGTTTTTTAATAAAAAAAAAACAAAGAATGGGAAATCAAATCCGAATGCCCTTATTTTATGACGTTTTAATTCTAATAACCTAAATAAAATTTTATTCCATATAATTGAAATCACTCTTACAGTACTTACATTCTTAACTAAGCATTTCCTTATGATTGTGACAATGATATCTGAAAATCTCCGAGTTCTATATATTTGCATTAATTTTCAAATCTGTAAAAAATTTTTTTTAAAAAAAGTCTACTTCTCATGATCTGTAGTCAAACAAATCACCTAACTACTAAAAGATTTATTTGATTTCCTTATTAACGATATGCTTACTTATAGGGAAAATTAAAAAAAAAATAATAAATGTAAGATTACCTTTTTTTAATTAGAGAATAAACAAAATGGAAACTTGATTTCGAGCTATAACTCTCTTATTAATAAAGTTAGACTTGAAATAATAAACTATGTGCACGATATATTATTCATAGATAAAAGTTAAACAAGTGGAATCTGTGTGGAATTAGACCTAAAATACTCGTAGTTGATAAAACACGCGACTGTTAGACTACAAAATAAATTAAATATACGTAGGTCAGTTGTTAAACTTTTACGCCATTGATACATATTAGGGATGGTAAAAAAAAAAAAACGTTTTTAAATGATTTTAATTTTTTAAATTATTTTTTTTTTTTTTTAAAAAAAAATAACAT